CTGTCATCCTCTAGAGGGATTTATCGTATTATGAAGTTATCATTCAGCCTCAGACATACTCTGTGTCCTCACACAACTCACTTAACCAATACAGCTGTACACAAAGAATGGGTAATGAGTAGATTTATAGTGCACAAAAGGAAATCAAGCCTTCTAGTTCAGCAGTTATACAGGTACATTTAGGGAGTCTTTAATGTTCTGTAGAAGCATGTCTCTGGAATTCAATTGAAACTCATTGTAACTCATAGCCTATATAGGCCTTTTGTTTTTCCCTATTCCACATCCATTCCATACATTTTTTATTGTTTTAAACATAGAAGCTTTTTTTTCTTTCTGATCATGCTATACAATGCTTCCCCTGCATTAAGTTTTGTTTATCTTGATTACAGCTTTGGTTTTATTTGCCATCACAGTTTTATACTCACAAGCTGCCTTATCACATTGCCCTACCAGGCTTTTAGCTATATTTCACTGGGTGTACACCTTGGTGTATCACATCTTTGGGCTTTGAAATTTAGACTCTGTGAAATGCTATATCCTGCATTTTCAGGTGGAATCCAGATAACTTTTTGTCTTTGTTACAACACTACTTTTGTCCTGATTATGGGAAGTATGTGAGCTTGACTAGAGGTGGAAATTTAAGACAGGAGATCATTTTAGTTACAAGTTTCATCTTAATCAGGAGACATAACCTCTCAGGTTTCAAATTATATATTAAAAAAGAAAAAAATCCATATATTAATTCACCAGCTTTGATCTTTTGACTCTAGCCTCATGACAAGCATTAGAACCAAACACCATAAACTGGGGAATCAAGCCTTTTTGGCCACAGCCCCACCTTTCTGGAACTATTTTTCTCAAAACATCAAGAACTCTGACTCTTTACCTAACCTCACAAACCTAAAAACCTACCTCTTCAAATTAGCATATTTCCTATGATCCACTTCAAAACTTGCAGTCATTTTTTTTGTTTGTGTTTCCATTTCCTTGTCCAAAATCTTTTTGTTTACTCATATACTTCAATATTGGTTTGATGTATTGTTATTAACAATGTAAAAACAATTATGGTATTTCTATTTATCAAACTCATTGGTTAGAAAGAGAAATACTTTAATTTGATATAGTGGGATACATGGGCACAACTTTTTGTGCTATGGTATGAAATGATTGAGTGTTGGGAAAAAAAATGCAATTACATGGGTTTAGAGGGTGTAATTTCATGTACTACTATTCTTTAAAAAGTACTTAAGTAATGTTTTCTTGATTTGACTCTGATTAACTTAAAATAAAATTACCTGAATTCTAAATATTCATAGGTTTCATACTCTACACTTTTCCTATCTAAAATCTAGAATTTGATGATGTGTGCTATTTTGATAAGGACTGAATTCAAACCTGTGCAGTTATATAGCAGACACATTGTACTTGGTCTTTGGTTTGCACAGATTCTAATTAGGAACATAATTAAGGCCCCATCATGATGGCGCTGGGTTTGATTGTATATGACAAGTATTTTTGTAGGTTAGGGGTCCTATCAAAGTGAGGTGGCAGCAAAACTGACTACATTTGAAACCAGCTCTCAGAATAAATAAGTTTGAAGCCGCCCTCTATGGCTCTTACATCATGATAACTGTATATACCGGTACATAACCAGCTACAAACTGATGTGCTGTTCATGCGAGGCCTATCATGAATGCGCCAAAACAAACAGCAACATTGGCAGACTTTTAGTTCACTTTTAGAAGCTGTTTTAGAAGTTAGTGAATATTTGTGGATCTTACTATTTAATTTACACTGTACTTGTTGCTCCTTTGTCATTGGCCCACGCAGACATCTTAAGCCGGCTTACACTGTACAACTTTTTCAATCGCTGCACGCAGCTAAAGCTCACACTGTACGACGAAACTGCAGTGCACCCCGATGCTCTGATGCAATTTACCTGCTCACACTATACGTCTAAAAACAACGTCGGACTCAGCTCCGCAGTGAGATGGAGCTACTCGGACTTGTCTATCCAGAAGCCAAAGGAGTAGAAGAGGAATATGAAGCTCACTAGATATAAAACGCGCTGCCTTGGCAATTTGTGCAATTTTGTGTGCCGAATGCCCTAAAAAGAAAAGCCGATGACGTATTTCAACAAAGACATGGCTGAGCAAATGTGGCTACTGCGGTCTGTCAATTTTACAGAAAGAACTCCTTTTCACTTGCACCTCTCCTATGCTTCTGCTTTTTGATCTGAGAGGAAGAACAAGAAGAAGAACCCTTGTTTGCGCATTCCCACTGAGAGAATTGCCCACAACGGTTGACTGTATTTCAAACATGTTTGATTTTCTCCTAACCTCACGATTCCTGATCGATGGTGGTCGTGAGAGGATGATTGCGCCTCATTACTCCGTGTACACTACAGGACACACGACGCACAATCAAGCTGAAGTCAGCCCAATCGAACAGTTCTCGCACGACTGGAAAGTCGGCCAAAAACGGCCAAAAAAAATCATACAATGTAAGCCCGGCTTAAGGAGAATTTAGAGGAGAAAATTAACCTAACAGTTAGGTTTTTGGAATGTGGGAGGAAGCAGGAGTACCTGGAGAGAACCCACACATGCACATGGAACCTTCTTACTGCTGTTTACTGTTTTACTGTCCAGCCCCTAGACTTAATACATCTAAAAATATATATGTTTGCCATTCTTATGGCAGTATCTGAAGATTAAATTAATTATTAAAAGACAAAAACAGCTTGATATAAGTTTTTAACTATACCTGATGAAAAAAAAAGTTGGTGAGTAACTAGAAAAAGGTTTTATTTTAAGCATGCTCTCGATTTCTGATTTTTAGCTTGCAATTTTCTCCTTCCCCTTCTTCTAGAAGTCTCTACAGCTGTTATCCACTGTACAGTGACCGTCCCAGTAAAATTCCCTTAGAGAAACTCAGTGTCGTCTAGTTCAATATTCTACAAAAAAATCCCCTGTCCAGTCTTTGTGTGCCTGGATAAGGTGAACTAAGGCTGACACTTAAGGTGATAAAAGTACACTTTAGAGCCTGTAGAGTAAAAGGGCACAAAGTGAGACATGCAACATGCACCAAGTTCTCAAAGCTTTCTGAAGATTGTTAATATTTAAGAGAGAAGTTTTTGCTCAGCTTTATGAACACATACAAATATTTCTCAAATATATGCATAGCCAGTTATACCTCTGTTTGGTTTTAGTTTATTGTAGAGCAATGGTTCTCCTACTTTATGTTGAAAAGTTTTTTCCTAATTTTAAGATAAAGTCAAGGATCCAGAAAAGGAAAACCATTTAGTCAGTGAAATGTATAGGTATATAGTTAGCTGCGTTAATTAAGTATTCTGTGAAAACAGTTTTATTTCTTTCACAAAAAACTGTTGCTTATTTTAAGAATTTTGCTTTTATAAACTTAAATCGTTCTTGAACCCAATAATGTCTCTAATCAATGGTTAAATTTTACACTTTCCAACAGTACCACACAAAGAAACATTTTAGGGGTTTATTGTAATATTTTTCTGAATCTCTTAAAAATCCATTAGTCATCTGTACAAAACAACACACCCGTTTTATATGAAAGTATTTTTTAAATTGTAGTTTGTTTAATGATAAACTTCTATTATGTTGTATAAATAAAACGTGTGGGTTTATTATTTAATAGATTTAAGTGGCCGTCCTTTCAATAAGTTACAGTCTATTCCTTCAAACTTGCATTCTTGCACATAAACAAGAGGAAACTCAACATAAAAGTAGCAATTTAGATCAGGCTAAAACATATGCCAGATTATTTATTTATTTGAAAAGTTGGTGGATAAGTCAGTTCCTGAGTTAGGATGAATGACCTCATGAAGCCCTTATAATTTCAGTAGAATCTATGAGAGCTTTCAGCAATCCCTATTTCAGTCTCCTCTTTTCCTTTAGATATCCATCATATCATCAGTCCAGACTCATAAATACAGCTAGTTGTTAAGCCTCAAGTTACAGTATGCTTTATTTACTTGTTCTGTGACATGCTATTTATTTTTACATGCAGTAAATTCAGGTTTCTAAGAAAAGAGGCTGAGACGGATACTACTGTAGGATTTAGTATTTCAAGCTAATTTGAATTGAGTTATGAATGCTTTTTCTACAAAAAATTGAAGTGTGCATATATATATATATATATATATATATATATATATATATATATATATATATATATGTGTGTGTGTGTGTATATGTATGTAATTGAAACCTCTTTTTTTTTGCTTTGCTTTGTGTTTTGGGGGTTTTAATGTGCCCATCACATTCTGACCCTTATTTTGTATCAAAGAAAATAACAAAAGTCTCTGAGCACTCAGCAATTATAGTTGCTATTTATCACAGCATGCCAACCATTAATGTGAATCATTCATTGTCTTTGAGTTACTTGAAATCCCTAAAGTCTGATGGAATTCAAACACACAGAAGAAGCTTATATACTGATAGAAAGAAGGCCATGGAGCAAAGCAATCTAATGGCAAAGTATTTGTGGGTATATGTGAATTCCTAAATCCAGATATCTTTTAGAATCAACGTAATGTAGCTAAGTATTTTTGCTTCTTGTGAACTGGGGAGTGTGAGAAGCCACTGGATGGATGACTGACTTAAAGCACGACTATAATTAGTCTGTAACTGTTGACTTAGAAATTAAGGTTTATACTGACATGGCACAACCTCTTAGTTGTTCTTTGCAAGTGTGTAGTCTTCATTAATTTTAATTAATAGTATTTTCTTTTTTCAATTCATGTGATCTTTACAAATGAAGTAGTACATTAATTTTTTTTTTCATAAATGTTTAAATTGCTGAATTTCAAAGGCTAAGAAAAATACTTTCTACTTTGTAAGGAAATGTTAAAATCTAAGTATATGTCAGATTTTGGAGCACAAAAAGTTTTAAACATTTTCAACATCAAAGTACTTTTCAGGCTACTGTTCCTTGGTTGTGATTATAAAAAGGAATGCTTCTCTCCTTAGACTTGAAGAAGTCATTCGAACAAGAACCCCTTGGAAAAGAAGTGTCACTGGAGCAGGAAGTGCTGCTACAGTGTCGTCCTCCGGAGGGCATACCAGCTGCTGAGGTATGTGAAATGTTATCCTTAACCTCCACTGCAGATGAATGGAAATGAAGCACAAAATTTATGAAAAGAAGTAATTTGTTGGGAGGTATGACAGAATGAAAAAAGGAAGAACAGGAGATGATATATAAAGCTTAAAGTTATTATATAGGAAGTGCCTGGAAGGGCCACAGAAGTATCAGTTGTTTCAAATGCAGCCTTTTTTTTTGGTAAACTTTCTGGGTTTAATCACTTTATCACAGCAGATTTTTCATTTCCCTTTTAACATTTTCTGAAATACTGTTATTTTACCGTCAATTAAAGCTAAACACCTATTATGTAAAGTCATTACAGCATTTAGTAGAATCAAACAGTAAATTTTGCTGTAGATGATCTATTATTTTTCATCTTTAGGTAGATTTCCTTGAGACATTTTTAGGAAATACAATACATTGTCATACATTACACTATAATATATGTGCTAAAATACCACAGGAGGAAACAGCCTTATTCTGTTTCAACTAACGGGAGCATAAAAGTTCTACAACACTGATCCAGAGAACAGAAGTTTAAAATGAGACATTTACGTCCCCTGAGATCTAATTTGAGAACAGCATGCATAAAAAATGCTAGTTACTGCAGCGATTTAGTCTTCAACCTTTTTTTAAACTTCTTTAGCTAACTCTTCTGCTGTACCCAGAATAACCAGTGCAATGTTTCAAAGGACCAACCAGATGGCACACTACATTTTTATGCTATATATTTGTCATATAACTACACAGACAAAAAAATAAAAAATAAAATAGCCAAGAAAGAAACAAAATTAAATTGATAACAATTTTCAGGACTTTTGCTGTAGCGTCCATAATCTTGGTATGGCACTACTGTATATAATCATAGGTTTTAAAATTTATTCAGTTATGTCTACCTGTGTCTAATCTTGGCATAAGTTTTAATTAAATGTCAATACATTAATAAAAGATCAATTTAAATATGTGCCTCATGCAAAATGCCTGTCAGGAAACACCAGGTAGCTAACCTTGTACCAGGCGATGGTGTTGAATTAGCTATTCAAGCACATTATCAGTCAGGAAAATGATAATGTGCTTGATAGCCTTTAGATATGTTTTGTTGTTTACCCGGTAGCGTTAATGTTTGATTTAGTCCCCCAGACACTGTTAGATATCTTTATATTCTGTTTCAGTCATATTTTCAAATCTGTTCAGTAAACATCAGTGTTTGCTGTTGAACTGCTAATGAAGGTCATGGACTTCCTGCTCATCAAATTTGCAAATCTGCCATTTCTTTATTGTTTTTTTAATCCAAGCCCAAGGATGCTGAAGCTACAAGTAGATAATTCAAAATGTTTGGTTATTGGGTGTAGAAATTTAAGGTTTTACACTGACTTCCAATTTTTGTGACACTAGACAATCGTACCACTGCCATTAAACTACAATTAGGGCCAAGCATATGGAGCTAAAATGGTCTCAATTTTCACAAATACACATACAGTATGTGATTCATACATCTACAGGACAAGATCCACACATGCACAGACCGATTCATACAAGCACAAAATAATCCACACTTGTGGAATCTGAGACCGATCCATACAGGTACAATGGAGTGGAACACTTCTGTGACCTGGAGGGGGGCAGGATGTAAAGTGCCTCATTTGCATTCAATGAGACCACACTAAAACTCATATGAACCTCAGACAAGGGTAAAATAGAAGGGCCAAACCATTGCAATTCTACTAAATGATTAACTATGATGAGGAAGGCCTTGAGAGCGTGATATTTCTATTTTAATGCCAGTCCTTCACTAAGTAAGGCTTTTTATAAACCTACTGTATGCTTTAAAAGGATCAAATAAAACATTAAAATTTGCAAAAAGTTTTCTTAGAAACTTTAAATGCTCACAACGAAATTGGAAGTAAGCACTTTGGTTTTTAAAGGAGAAATGTGTAAGCTCTCCTTAGCATTTTCTAAATTCCAAGAACATACTGTAACACCTTAAAGCAGTGCTCTAGCAATACTGTGTTTTGTCTTTCTTTTAAAATAGTAAGATAAAAAAAATCTATTTAACTTTTCAAATTTTGTTTTTACCTCACATCTTTATGAGTAAATGAATGTTTTTCTCATCAGATAATGCAAATTTGCAGAAGCATATTTAGGTCCATAGTTTTAAATATTAGATTTATAAAAAAATTATGAACTTTAATTGAATTGATTAATTGAATAAAATACATTATATTTGCTCACTTGTATGATCTAAAAATTGTAAAAACTTACTTGAACTTACAGAGTAACTATTTTATTTTACTTACACAATCACAATGAGAACCACTGCATAGCATAATATATTCCTCAAGCACATTGTCAGATTGACATTTCATTAACTTATCAAGTTGGCCCAGTAGTAGGCATTTATTTTTGAGCCACCTAGGTCACTTTTCCTCCCCGAGCGCTACTGCTAAACCAAAGCTATTCGCTAGTGACAGTGTTCTTTATTTCATCACTTTTCAGCTGTTTTTTTTTACCTGAATGTATGAAAAGTCATTTCATATATGCAGCTGATCACTGGGGAAAAAGCAGTGACCTAGGGCTGCACTTTTAGAAGTGTGCACTTTGAGAAGGCTTCTCTGCTGGATGGGGAGTTTCTGAATCAGTTTTTCTTCCTCTGTGTTTGATAGTCGTTTGCTGTTGCACTTAAGTACACAGCTCCCCTGAGAGAGAAGAGAGAAGGCATATCAGCATACAAATTGAGAAAGCATGTACAAGAAATGCTTAGAGTGGTGGGGCAAAGAAATGGTAAAAAGGAAGGTTTATTTCTTTTGCAATGGCCATATCCGATCTTTCTTAAAAAACTAAAGGAAGTTATTGGAATTTAACAACAATTCATGATTTTGAATTAATAAAAATTAACAAATAAATACCCTATCAGTCAGTTTTTGAATATTTTTGTGGCTTACATCTACCTACATCCTCTTAACTAATGCCCAGCTTTTTTGGAGCTGGGCCTCTGCAACAATGACAACACATAAACATGAAGGAAATTGTTATTTTCCGTCGTGTTCAATTAACCACATTTTCTAATTGTCTTACTCCTGTCATAATAGGATGTCAGGGAGATAGATCAGTCTGTCTGTTGAAGCTCTTAAGAGTGTTTAAAACAAGCTAAAGACCTGTGTTTGAAACCCTGACTTTTTTTTTTGATATTCTTTCTTTCTCTGTTCTTATCGCATCTATTCTCTTAGCCATCAGCTCTATTTTTTTTATTTTATTCTCTCCTCCCCTGGCTAAATTGCTCAATATTTTTCTTTAAATCAATATTATTTTCTTTTTCCCATTTCTGAGAAAACAATACTGAATTTACGATAGGAATAGACAATAGGGCCTTCATTTTTTAATCTAAATATATTTCTTATTGCAAGGTGATAAGAAAAATGAATCCATAACCAGTTCAGACTAAATATGTTATAATTTTCCCAGTTACTTAAAGATTGAAGTTGATGATAAGTAAAAACTCATAGCAACTGATGTGCTGCTGGCGAGTTTTGAGGCTTGAAACAGATAAATATAATTTTATGTCTGATATTTGCATAGAAGGCATTCATATAGATCCTCAGTTAATATATTTCTAGAGGTGCTACTGACATGATTTTCACACAATCCATGCAATCCAAACATAAAAAGAAATCAAGCCATAGATGTCCAGAAATTAAAGTCATAGGGAACATTTATAAACACTGTCCTAAAATCTGTGGGGTTTTTGTTTTTGTTATTTTATGAAAGCCAGTTAGTTAGCTTGTACACCTAAATTCAGCCAATCATATATCAAAGAACATCTGTCAATCAATGTTTTCGTTCATAGCATCTTGATTCATATGTTGCAGCTAATATACGCAATGGCTGAAATAAGAAATAATTTTCCTTCGTTGTTAAACTTTACCATTGAGTTACGTCCCAGTTTTCACAGGAATGGACGTCTGTGTCTTCGGCAGGCGTAGAGCTAACGGAACTGGCAGTGTTGCGAGGAAAGGGCTCAAACATGTATGTCTATAAGCCTTCTACACCAAACTAGGCTTCTGCCGTCCTGGTGTCCTCTTCCACAACATCTTCATCCCCGCTTTCCTCCTCTAAATAAAAAACTATGACGGAGGAGACTCATCCACAACCTCTGACACAAAACTGTACTCCTCTTGCATATTTCCGCTGTCCATAGTGTTCCTTGACAGTGTCGTTTCTAAGTGCTACTTGGTCCCAATGTAATTTCCCATTGGGAACCTACTAGCACCAAACTGGTTAGCAAGATGCTACCTACAAACCGGCCACAACCAAACTTGTTCACTTGTGTAAAGTCTGGCACCCCTCGGGAGAATTCGGAAATGCAACGGTTGGAACATTGCTGGGCCAGTCTATGAGCTTTATTATCTCTCTAATTGAAAGTTTCTTTGGCTGTATGTTTTGGGTCATTGTCTTGGTGAAATGTCCACCCATGTTTCATCTTTATCATCTTGGTAGAGGGTGTAGAGTTAACACAACTGGCAGCATTGCGAGGCAAGGGCTCAAACATGTACGGCTGTAAGCCTTCTACACCAAACAAAGCCTTTGCTACCGTGGCGTCCTTTTCTACAACATCTTTGTCCCTGCTTTTCTCCTCCAAATTAAAATATGTATGATGAAGGAGACTCCTTAATTTTCCTTGCCTTTATTGCACCTCCCTTTCATCACGTGTTCAATACTTTTTCCCTGTGCCATTCCACATTATTACACATAACTTAATTTCTGGACATCTATGGTTTGTTTCCTTGTATTTTTGAATTTCATGAATTGTTACTGACATGTGGTGAAAAGGTCATGTCAATGGCACCTCTAGAAATATATTAACTGAAGAAAATGGTGGCTTGTTCAATACTTATTTTACCCGTTGTACAGTCTCTTAAGGCAGTGGTTCCCAAAGATTTTCTTCTGGGCCCCCCTTTGGATTACAATAAAATTTCCACGCCCCCCAAAATAAAA